CTCTCTCTCTCTCTCTCTCTCTCTCTCTCTCTCTCTCTCTCTCTCTCTCTCTCTCTCTCTCTCTCTCTCTCTCTCTCTCTCTCTCTCTCTCTCTCTCTCTCTCTCTCTCTCTCTCTTCCACGTATATCCGATTCTAATAAATCGAAAAATTCGAAAACAACACGAAACACGGGTTTTTCACATTGGATTGACATTACATTAGAAAATTAAAAGCCGACCGAACTTTCTTCAATAGTCTCGAAATTTTTCTCTCCTCGCGACGACTTTTCTCTCTTTTTTCAACCAAACATCGAAAATTCGAAACGAAGAATTAGAAAATGATCGCTGATGATTGTTACAAATGATGTAGTGGCCGACTTCGAGGCGTAACCTAGAAAATTAATCGCGAAAATCCATCGAACGTTATACCGTTAAACGCACGAGATGACGAAGTTTCGCGCGGCTGTTAAATATTTAAAGAGACCCGGAACGAGACAATGGAGCGGCGCCCGCGAATAAGGCAGTTGCCATTCCGAGGCACGCGCCATTCCAAAGAAAGAATGAAAAAAAGAGGAAGAGGACGACGAAGAAGAGTGTGTATACGATGTACGCATCATTGAACATTGTTTGCCGGGCGAACGACAAGCTCTGGCTGAGCTACTTACCGCCCATTGTCATCATGGATCAGGAATTCGCGATAAATCCTTATTATTTAAAATAATGAGCACGTTCGAATATTTTGTTTGCGCGGTTAATTGGGGATCGGTGTTTACTTTGAAAAGAAAAACACACACGGAGAGAAATGGATAGAGGTGAACTGCGATTAATTAAGTATCGACGAGTATTATCGATTCAATTCATTCACTTCGTATACCTAAACGCTGTTGACAGAGCAAATAGCCAGCCGGTGAAAGTTTATCTCTTTCTCTCTTTCTCTCCCTCTCTCTCGATGGAGAAAAAATGGTAAAATACGCGCGAAAAATTTCGTACCTTTTGCCCATTATCTTGATACGTTCTTATTAGGAGTTTTAGAGAACTCTTTTCTAGAAAAGAGATATCGAAATTAGACGAAGCGAGACGAGGAAAGAGAGAGCGAGATCTATTCTTCGTTCGTCCTTAAACGAGCTTTAATCGATGCGTGTATCCGTTTTAATCTGTGAAAGCAGACGCGTTTATATTATATAACAATATATTAATGAAGAAAAGGAGTGATAATGCGAAACTAAACTCGATAATCATATCATCAAGCGTCGTATCAGGAAATCCATCAATGCAATGGCTTTGTACGAGCACGTCTGTGGGTCAAGGTGAACTGCTTGCTCGTTGCACGTGGACGCACAAGACACCTATATACGCGCATTCGTCCCAATTATCTCAACACTTTTCAATCCTAGAATTTAGGGGAGACGAATATGATCTCTGATGATGAGGTGGATCGAATCGAATGGATAGAACGATCCGTTCTATCTCCATCTCACATGACCACGAATCATAAATATATTCGATTCGAAATGAAAATTTTGAACGATTTCTTTTCTTTTCTTTTTTTTTTTTCCAAACTCCCCACCCAATAAAACATTTCCTTGAAATTAATTCCAATAATTCGAAAATGGTTTCTCGGATCATCGAAAGATATCATCATCCTATGTCTGTCCCCCTACTGACCCAAATCTGGCAACTTGGGTGATCGGTATTGCCCGCGCTAGGGTCCGCCCAGCTTCCGCGCCACAACTCGGGTTGAGAGTCGGCCGTTTGTTTAAAAAATTATTGAAGAAAGTTCGGCGTGACGGGGAGGTGGGCAAGAACCGACGGTGTACCGGCGATGACGCCTTGTGTGTGCCTTAGTCGTTCGTCGTCGTCACACGCGTCATCCGCCGCATCCGGAGTGGGGATATTGGGGAGGGTCCCAGCTGGCGAACACCTATAAAGATAGAAGCTACGGAGGGTCAGATCACACTTTGCTCCGAAAATTTTCCGAGGATCGATCCTCCTCGAACCAGTGAGAGAGAGAGAGAGAGAGGGACATTGGTCGCGAAATCGTTTGGTGATGAAGATGAACAACAAGCTGGTGATCCTGGCATTTATCGCCGCGTCCGCGACGGCTGTGCCCACGTCGAACGTCGACAACGCTCCACTGAACAGGGATCTCGATTGCTTCGAGCAAGAGAACGCGCTGTTCAGCTGTGTATCCGTCAAGACTGTCAGCATGCTGGACAGAGCCGCGAGGTCCAGCGATATCGAGATCGTCGACGGAGTCAAGTTCGTGAGGGAAACGCCGAGTGAGTTCGACCATTCGTCTTTATTAATTTTTTCTTTATTCGTAATCGTGAATAATATTACCATTTTATCGATCGTGCGGATCTATTATTATTACTCGTAACTTGTCTCTTCTTGATTGATTGAAAATGTAAAAACTCGATGTAAAGTTTGCGTTGGTTTACATATCGAATAACTGGAAATAAATGGAAAATGATATCGTTTCCCAGTGGAGCGCAATGGAAAAGATCTGAGGAGCGAGGTCGACATAATGAACGAGCTGCCGAGGGACGCGTCGGATAGAGCCATCAAGCTGATGGGCATGATGTTCGACTCGGCCATGTCCTTCGTCAAATCCCACAGTTTGAAGCTGAGCATGCCCGAGGAGGGCTCCATATCCCGCGCTCTGGACCAAGGTAAACTTTCTATCCTATGATAGAGAGACGGGCGCATCCCATTACGTAATCCATCCCACCCTGATGACCGCACGTCACACACATATGAACGAATAAACTGTTCGACCAAGCCTTTCACCTTCGTGATATCTTCGCGCCGCGGCAACCTGTTCCGGATAAACTCGTTCCTCGCGCGTTCCACCTCCTACGTTCGCTTTCCTTCTCAAATTATACGCTGTGCACGGTAAGAACAGAGAGAGAGAGAGAGAGAGAAAATGCTTGGAATCGGAAGTTAATAACATTAATTAGCAACCGTTCAGGATCGGTTAAGCGTATTGAGAGTAAAACTTATGTATCTCGAAAGGATGTTATTTCTGACGAGATTCAAGTTCGAGATTCAATTATTTTTAATCGTTCAATTCTTTTGGAAAGAAGATGAACCAGCACTTGATAATTTTTTCTAATACACGTTGCTCTGAAAGAGCAGAAAATGAATATTTCAATACTTGAAATATTCTCTTGAAAAGATTTGGAAATCCCCAAATTCAGTCTCTTTTCTCGAATTAATCCTGCGCCAATTTTTCATTTCCCCGAAACGTTGGTGGTTCGTTCTTTCAGGTCGTGCCAAGATAAAGAAAATCGCGTTGCCGCTGATCGCCGCGGCGGGAGTAAAATTATTCGCCCTGATCCCGATCGTGCTGGGAAGTCTGGGCCTCCTGGTGATGAAAGCCCTCTTCGTGGGCAAGATCGCCCTCCTCCTGGCCGGGGTATTGGCATTCCAGAGGCTGTTCGGAAGCGGCAACGGGGCGACGAGCCTCTTCAACAAGAACAATCAACCGTCGACCGTCGGGTGGGTGGACAACAGCGGTGGGCAAGGTTGGTCGAGCAACATCGGGACAAACGTCCAGCCTCAGGGCTACTACAGAAGCTTCAACGATCGGGATGGACGAGTGGATGCCCACTCGATGGCGTACTCGGCCCAGGCGCCGATCACCAACGAAACCAATTGAAATCCGGGCAATGTTCGAGCGAAAGAAGACGAAGGATGACGCGAGTCTGGTGCGTTTAAGATGCTATCTAGATCAATTCTCGACTGCTAGATTAATATTTATGGAGCAAGTAAATTATTAACAATCCTTTTGTACTAATAAATTATTCGTATTCAACGTTTCATATAAAAATACCTCTTATTTATTGATTCGTCGATCGATCAATTGATCGAATCGATCCGATTCGTTTTCATTCTCGTATACGAAGACGTATACATATCCCTTTTTCTTAATCTTGGAAAGATTTATATTCGAAAAAGAAAAAAAAAAAGAAAAATCTTGAAGCAAACTTTTTATATTTGTAAATCCGATAAGTCGAAAGCCGATTTCTAATTTAAAATAAGAGGAAATAATTTGTTACGCAAAAAACGATGTGCAGCGCCCGAAGGTGCATAGAAAAGCGGCCGATACGTGATTAGTGTGTTCGCCGCGAAATATCGACGAGAGCCGACAGACGATCGCGGTCTCTCGCGCGGCTCATATTCGATTCAGACATCGAACAGTTTCGTTCGCACTCCCACCGCTCTTGTACCCCATTTTCTCACCTTCTTCCTCGTTCCTTCCATTTCCTTCTCTCCTTTCCTCCTCCTCCTCCTCCTCCTCCTCCTCCGACCGAAAACAGATTCGGGACACGGCGGCAGCAGCACAGGTCGGCGTCGTCGGTTTTGCATGCCGCGTGTTCCGTGTCACACGCGGCAACAGGCACGGAAATCTAATTTTCACCGAGAGACTTATTACCTGCCGTCTCGCGTATCGCGTCGGGGAACGGGCCATTATCGCGAGCCACGATTCAGGAACACGTCGTGGAAACTCCGCTGCCATTGTGAGAGAGATTGACAAAAGGCGCCACACATCCTTTTTATTATTCTTACGATTTGGAGAGACGAGAAATATTTTATTGTTGAAGTTGACGATATTGTTCTCTCTCCTCTCCGTTCGAGGCCCCGGCTCCCGTTGAATAGAAGAATTTGGATAGAAAGTGCGGCGGGCATCTCTCGCCCCATGCCTTTCCTCGAATAAACTGCGATTCTTATTTTCAACTTCTGCTGGCAAATGGACGCCGCTTGAAAAGAGATGCGCCTCTTCCTACTTTTCTCTAAAACAATTATCCGCACCTCAAAATGGCCTATCAACTTTCACGCTTTTCAATCATCGTTAAGATGCTCCTTCCATTCCAGAAAATTGTGTATCCTCGCTCCAAGTTTCTACAAATCTACGTATTTCTCCGTCTATACGCCTCTCTTTCGCGTTCTCAAGCAAATAGTTGCTCGTCGAACTTTTTCCTCCCCCTCCCTCCTCCCTCCCCCCTCTCTCTTTCTCTCTACTTTATCGAGTAAAAAAATACGTTATCCGATCTTGCAATGTTAAACGATTTCGTTATTTTTTTTTTTTTTTTTGGGACAATTATTAAGAATGTGCAGTAAAATCGTTAGCTTACTTTGCCAGAATTACGCACAAAAGTATTCATATATTTCTATGATACATCGTTAAAAACTAAACTTTGATATATATTTTAGAACGAAATTTTCAGAATTGAAAGATAAGTTAGATGAATAAAAGATTAATAAGAATACGATACGTTTGATGGATAAAAATTGGATAGACGCGTTGTTCGACGGTAATTTTAATGTCAAAATCTGATTGGAAAGCATAGGGGATCGCTCGAAAGTGATCACACGCTGAAAAGGAAAATTAAGTTTCTATCGGTTTAAACGCGCAACAACGTCACTTACTTACTTACTTACTTACTTACTTACTTACTTACGAGGGCTCTTAAGCGTGGGCCGAGCGTATAGCCGGTGGAATTAAAATTCTTGACACCGCGGTCCTTGCACGTCGCTTGCCAAATGGTTCAGACCGCCCCCACCATCCATCACGGGCCCAAGTATAAAAGAAAAATTGCCCCCGGGGCAAACAGTCAAAATCCTCGTGCGTTCGTCGATATCGAACAGACACCAACAACCACCGCGATGAAGCCATTTATCGCGATTTCGTTCGCGCTTTTGTCGCTCGCCTGCGCCGCCATCGCGCAAGATCCATCGAGAGATCAGGCGGAGATCAGGCTGACGAGGGCGATGGACGAGTTGAATAAGAGGGATACCATCGAGATATACGGTGACATGATCACTTTGGAGAAGGTTGACGTTGCGAGGGAGGAAGGGAGATCATCGACGAGCGAGGATCCACTGGTCGGACAGATTGAACGATTCTTCAACAGCAGGAGGATTCGTGTTCATCTGCCCAACGATGGATCTTCCGCGGATATGTTTGGCAGAGCCTTGGGACGGAAGGATATGGCCGTTGAACTCAGAGCCTTGACCACGGGGGCCTCTGAAGGTGAGAATTATTCTTTAGGGCGAGCAGGAGATCGTAGAAATTGAAATTGAATTTTTTAAATGTCGTTTTTTAAAAATATATATATATTTATCACGTGCGAACTCGAGTCGAGCAAAGATGTCGATACTTTCGTTCGAGTCGTTGGTTTATCTGTCAATTGAACGTTTTTAAACTGATCGATCATATTTTTTGAATTAGCAATTTTTTTTTTTTAAGAAATGAAATCGATCAATTCTAGCTCAATTGTAGCTCGAGTTTTGACCTCGCATGTTTTCGTTATCGAGGTCTCCAAGCTTTTAAAAAGATCGAGAATAGAAAGTGAAATTCGATAGGAAATGGAAGAGAATCTTTTATCCTCGAAAAGAAAAGAAAGACTGACCAAAGCGCGAACGGGAGAATTCATAATCATGGAGGAAAGCTCGAAGGAACTTTCTATTAAAAAACCCATTCCTTCGATCTCTCCTTTGGCCTACATATCGATCATCTTAAGCATTCGAGACTCACTCTTCCGAATACGTGAGAGACGTATTCTTGGAATGGAAAGAAGTATTCGTGCGGCTCCACCATCTTGATGGATTCGCGAGGATGGCGATCTCTAATTTAAACCAACTTAAATTCCACGCGTCTCCTCCATCTTCGAGGCGTCTGCGAACGGATCGCGCCACGTCCGCCAACTTATAGCCCCTCGCCTTTCTAAACTCTCTCTAATACGATCGAAGTAAGCCACCGAGGCGAGAAACGATTGGCTGTTGAAAGTGGGACTTCCGGTGGCGAGGCTTCCGATTGGCGAGGATTCCGACCCGCCACCACCTCGCCGCGCCATCCGCTCTCCTCTTTTCCTCGGCCTCTTTTCCTCGCCACCAAAAATTTCCACCAATTTTTCTTCCCCTCCCCTCCTCACTCTCTCTCTTCTTTTTTTTTTTTTTTTTAATTCTCCTCTCCCGCGTTCCTCTCTCCTTCTCCACAGGAAAGGAGCAAACATCGAGAAGGCGAGAGAAGAGGAGGGGGCAGACAGGAAAGTGGCCGGGCGTAGAAAGCCACGCGTCCCACTTCCTCCGCATCCGCGAAACGAACGGTGGGGATGGGGGGAGCAAAGTGGGCCGCCGATGGGATTCCGGGTTTCTGGGACGGCAGCCGACGAACGAGGACCTTGAACGAGAGTGCCACATGTCGAAGAAAGTAGATAGCTGGCCGATAAAGATTCCAAGATTCTTAGATATCACCTTCCTCCCTCCCTTCCAGGGGAACCTCCCTGAGCCTCATTCATCGTTTCGATAAATTTCATCTTTGATCGATCAAGGGTGCAGAGTAAATTTGCAAAGTGGCAAGGCTCTTCTCTATGTAATAACGCATTGTTGATCGTTAAAAAAAAAAGAAAAAAAAGAAGAGAAAGAAATTGATCGAAGAGCCTTGTACAGAAGGTGGAAAGAAAGAAACGGTGCGAAAGAGTATATTGTAGCCTTCGTGGTCGATTCGAGCGATCGCATTAGTGTTAAAAAAGAAAAAAAAGAAAAAAAAAAAAAAGAATCGCAAAAAAAGTGAAATTTCAAATTTTACAATCGTTTCGCTTTCGTTCCAGCCCGTACCAAACTGAAGAAGATCGTATTGCCGCTTCTGCTGGCCCTGAAACTCAAAGCCATGATCGTGCTGCCCATCATCATCACTCTGATCGGTCTGATAGGGATCAAGGGACTGGGCGCTGGTCTGCTGTCACTTCTCCTCTCGGGAGCGGTGGCCCTCAAGGCGTTGCTCACGCCGCCACCACCCCCCGCCAGGGTGACCTACGGGGTCGTGAAACCCGAGATCCATCACGAGCATTGGCACAGGTCGCAGGAGGAGCTGAATCAACCCTACAGAGGTTGGGCCCCTGAATTTGGCCCCGAACAGTACCCCTATCAAGATATCCCTTGAATCCCTTAATCTTTAGAAACATTGCCAATTCATCCTCCTCTCATCCCCTCCCCTCCCCCCCACCCTCATTTTATTTATTATTCCCTCTGTTACTCTCTGCATTATTTTATAAAATAAATGGCATCGTATTCCTCTCTCATTTTTCTTCTTCTTTTTTTTTTTTTTTACTAAACACTTTGCATTCAATTTTGCAACGTGTCTTCTTGTCATCCTCTCCTCGATAATAAATTCTCTTCGATAATAATTTCCATTCCGCATCCTTCATTCCTAAAATTCCTCTCCTCGTCCAATCTCCTCGTCCATCATCAAAGCGTTTATCCACTTTCCTTTCGAACCATTCTTCCTTCGAATCGAACGATGGCACGACTATTAAAATAATTAAATAAATAATTAAAAATCTATAATCGCTAAGGTAAGCAGGTTATCCTCGTCGAGGGGGAAGGCTAACGACCCAAATAGAAGCTGTTCGAAGAGAGAGAGAGAGAGAGAGAGAGAGAGAGAGAGAGAGAGAGAGAGAGAGAGAGAGAGAGAGAGAGAGAGAGAGAGAGAGAGAGAGAGAGAGAGAGAGAGAGAGAGAGAGAGAGAGAGAGAGA